GAAATAAAAACAGTGAATTAAAGAATATCCGGTCTTTATTCAGATTAAGCCGTTCTTCCTTCAGTCTAGGGCATTTGAACTTTTCTTTGTATTTTACTAAGGAATACAGGAGGGTGGAACATCATTCGCTGAACTGATTAACATATCATGAATTTCCTTTTAGACACAGAGGATTTTTACTAAGCTTCTCTCTCTCTTTCACGGTCCCACTCTCTGTCCCTCTCTGTCTGTCCATCTGTTTGCCTGTCTGTCTGCCTGTCTATCTGTTTGTCTATCTATCTGTTTGTTTATCTATTGTCTGTTCGCCTGCTTGTCTGTCTGTTCGCCTGTTTGTCTGTCTGCCTTTATGTCTGTGTGTCTATTTGTTTGTCTATATGTCTGTTTACATGTTTGTCTGTCTATTAATCTGTTAATCTCTCTCTCTTTCACTTTCACTCTCTTTCTCTCTTTGTGTGTGTATTTGCGTGCCATAAATAGACAGACAAAGAAATAGCTCGACAATCGTACCGTGTTCTTCATCTATCTCTAATATCTAAAGCTCTTTAATTCGGATACATAATTTCCTCTCCCGAAAAAATTCATACACAAATCTTTGAATATATTTCCCCGCTGCCCCAGAGGTAATTCAAGATGAAAATCTATGTATGTAATTAAAGTATCTTAATGAAGAAGAAGAAGAAGAAAAAAAGAAACTATCCCATTTACGGTACATTCAGTATTTTAGGAAAGCCTTCATTACGAATAATATAATCACTCATAGCGAAGCACAGAAACTAGTCAAAGTACACTTAAAATAGCCTTGTTAAAGTCTACACTCGTTAATAAGGGTGAAATACCAGTGTGATACAGAAGCAGTGCTTCACTCTCTCTTTTTCTGTCACTCTGTCTGGTTCTGTCTGTCTCTGTCTCTCTCTCTCTCCCTGCCATTCTCTCCCTCTCTCTCTCTCTCTCTGGTTCTCTCTGTCACTCTCTCTCTCTCTCTCCCTCTTTCTCCCTGTCATTCTCTCTCTCTTTCTCTATCTCTATCCTTCCCCCTGTTGCAGTCTATCAAAAGAAGAGCCCCCCCCCAAAAAAAAAAAAAAAAAAAACGATGTAGGGCCTACTCCCAGATCCTAAAAAGAAGGCTATTTTGTATTCATCGTGACGTCATCCCATAATTCACGTGGTTCATCCCCCCCCCCTCCCGCTTCCCCTCCACTACCATTTCTCAAAACCGCACATCCCTAATTCTCCTAAGTGGTTGCTAATGTTTTCAGAAATGCCATAAATTCCCAGCTGATTCCTATTAAACACCATAGTCTTTTCCTATACCCTGCTTCTCTCTCCCTGTCTGTCTGTCTGTTTGTCTGTCTCTGTCAGTTTGTCGCACACACATAGATAGATAAATGGTTGGATAGACAAATAAATGAATAAACACGCACACACAAAGACACACACATACATACACAAACACACACACACATATATACATACATATATATATATATATATATATATATATATATATATATATATATGTATACATATGTATATACACATATATGTACATATATATATACACACATATATTTATACATATGTGTATGTATATGTATATACATACATATGTATATGAATATGTGTATGTATATATATGTACACACACACGTATATAAATACATACATATATATGTATTAAGTAAATATATATATATATATATATATATATATATATATATATATATATATATATATATAATGTATATGTATATATATGCATACGTGTGTGTATATATATATATGTATATATATATATATATATATATATATATATATATATATATATATATATATATACATATATATATATATATATACACATAAATATGTATATATATGTATATACATGGATATGTATATATGTGTATATACATGGGTATGTATATATATGCATATACATAAATATGTATATATATGTATATATATATGTATATATACATGTATATATCTCTGGTTTACGGTGCAGTAAACGTGGTCCGAAATATTCCCGACCACTAATATGTGATTGTTTGTCTGTCCTTGATATACAAGCCTCTTTGTTTCTCTGCCTATATGTTTGTCTGCCTAAGCATAAGTCTGCCTACCCGACGGTCTAGCTCCCTATTTATAAACTTACATACACACACACACATATCAGTATATATATATATATATATATATATATATATATATATATATATATATATATATATATATACATATTTATATATATATATATATAAATATATGCATAAATAAATATATATGTATTTGGGTGAATGCGTCATGTTCAGGTGATGGTGTGGCAGCCTAGATAGTGTTAAGTGCTTGCATGCCTTCTCGCTAGCCTAGTACAAAAAGGGAGCACCTCTGCATAAGCCTCCTCTGCCAGTCCACAGCCTCTCCGTTATCGAGACTTCTGCAGTGCCTCGTCGTGGTCACCCGTGGAAACTAAGCTAAACTGTGGGGGATCTCTGAACAG